ATAACCAAAAAACAACAACAAAAACTAAAAAAAAAATTAAATAAATAATATATCATGAAGATTATAACGGCAACATTATATCAAATGCATAAATTGGAATATATATTTTCTATAAAGACTCCAATTTGATATTCAAGTGTAAGTATACTACAATTAATATAAAACTTGGTATAGTTATAATTTATATAATATTTTGCATTCATATTTTCAAGGTTTCAGAATGTATTTTCCCACGGGGTTTCGCGGCAGCGTTCTCCTTCTATAATGCACTAACCCGCGTAATGTTAATTGTGTGGTGGTTTAGGTTAACACATGGTCACTTCCTGAGACAACTGTATTTTTCCACTATTAGTTTTTTGTTTTACTGTAAGACTAAGCTTTTATTTAAATTACGGGTAAAATAAACTCCAACACATGTCCTTGGAGAATGGAATCACATCGCCGATGTTTATAACTGAATTAGCCCATAATATGATTATTCCATGATTTTAAAGCTTATCTTATATCAGTATATTACAGCATTTGATATTGTCGGCTCTCTAGTTATCCCACTAATTACCAATTCAATCATCATATGGAATGTAATGTGAAGTGCACTCATGTCTTCATGGCTGTGGCTCAGTAAATTGACCATGAATTGATTGTATAAATATTACAGTGGTATTTTGTGTTGTAGTACAACAAAAAAAATGCAGGCTGTTTGCTCACAAGCTATTCATTGGTAAGCACAAATACCACCTGATGATTTTCAATCGATGTTCATATGCGTGTATCTATGTGTGCACAATGTTCAAATAGTCTGTTTACTTTTTGTTACAAATGTCATTTAAAGTGCTCAATTTGAATGAATATTTAATCAGGGGGGACAACAATTAAATTAGAGCAAGGAAATATTGTCCACCAATATTTGTCCCGTGGATATGATGTAAAAAATATTCAATATTGAATGTTGGCCGAGGAGATCAGAGGTAAACTATTATAGAGTACATAAACTCAGAAGGCCTCTATTAAACAATATATGACCTGAAGTCCTCTATTGTACATCTGCATTGCACGAAGTGGTAGGCTACATTGAGAGGAACATGAAAAATTCAAATTTTACGCTGGCCGCCTTCTTAGATATAGGCCTTTAACAACGTTAAACTTAAATCCATAAACAACTCACTTAAAGAAGTTAACATTCCTGATACCCTTACATATTGGATAGATAAAATGCTTAACAGCAGAATTATAAATTCAAGTGTGGGGGATACAAAAATCAGGAAAATGGTAACTAGAGGCACACCTCAGGGAGGGGTGCTTTCGCCGTTACTATGGCTATTGGTAATTAATATTATCCTGAGGGAATTGGACGGGAAAGGTATCAAAGTTCTTGCTTATGCGGACGACGTGGTGATATTGATTTCCGAAAAATCTACAATCTCGGAGCTTATGCGAAGAGCCTTACTGACGCTGTCGCGCTGGGCCATGGCAAATGGCCTTGGTGTAAATCCAACGAAGACGGACTGGTAGTGTTCACTACGAAGCGTAAGCTCGGCGTTTTTGCTCCACCAACACTGGATGGAGTGCAACTTCATCTATCTCCCGAAGCAAAGTACCTCGGCACAATCCTGGACTGTCAACTACGATGGAAAAGGAACGTTGAGGAGCGGGCGAAGAGAGGGATGATTGCACTCTATGCATGCAAGAACTCCATTGGGGAAAGCTGGGGGCTAAAACCATCGACTATACACTGGCTGTATATATATATATATATACACTTGTCCTATAGTTCTCTTGTTTGGTGGACTGTCTGAGCCTCAAGTCGACATCCAGTAAATTAGACAAGGTACAAAGAGCCGCCGCTGGGTCTCAGCATTAAGTGACAGGCCGCGCGTAGCGCCCTAAGGCTGCATGAACAAAAACTCTGGGCATGGTAGCATTCTGAATGAACCAGGTATGGCATTGGACCAACGCGCTAACCTAAGCGACTATATATCACCAATCCTGAGATTTGACGATGTAGATGTCGTTATTCCTAGTAGAGACGACTGGAAACGAAGAAACCCTCCTCTGGACGGTCTGGCCTTCTATACAGACGGATCCAAGATGGAAGAAGGTACTGGGGCAGGCGTATACTGTGAATTGTTAGACCTTGAGTTAACCTACAAGCTGGATTGCAACTGTAGTGTTTTCCAAGCTGAAATCTTCGCGATCTGGAAGGCAGCGGAATTGATAAAAAGTCTGGATGCAGAGGTCGTTGAACCGGTGACTATTTTTGTGGTTAGTCAAGCGGCTCTTAAAGCCAAGTGTAGAGCAGCTCTGGAAGAACTTACCTATAGCTATCGGTTGTGTTGGGTACTAGGACATTGTGACATTTTGGGTAATGAAAGAGCGGACGAACTAGCTAGATGAGGATCCCAATCCACCGATCTAGAAACTGATGACTCAATCAAACCACCCATATGTTTTTTTTATCGGAATTTTGAGGCATTCTTTGACGAAAGAGCCTGTGAACTTTGGCACAACGAACCTAGGTGCAACGTGTCAAGATCCATTTGGCCGACTCTGTCTACCAAAAGAACGCACTAAGTGTTGAACCTGAGCAAAACTGAAATTAGAGTGATGACGGGAATCATTACTGGTCACTGCAACATCAGGGCTTTTTACTAGTAAATGTGATCTTGATGCAATTGATTACTGCAGACTCTGTGTTGACGAGGAGGAAACGGAGACAATTGAGCATCACCTGTGTCATCGCCCAGCCCTGGCTTACAGGCGGCACAGACTAGTGGGTGCTCATTTTCTACCGAGTCTAAGCTTCTTCTCAACAACCGAACATGCTCTAATCTACAGCATGACATGTAACACATCTTCTGTCTGACTCCAAGAGCTATCGACCTTCATTCCTCCTTCATTTAATTATGTGAGATTCTCAACTCTCCTTTAATTCCCTAATTTTCTCTCCCCTACAGATATGTCTTTTTCTCTTCTCTTCACTATATCTCTTCTTGTGTATGATCACAACGGACCTAATCGGTCTCAGAGTGCTGCAGTCACATAAGTGACTGCACATCCCCAAACCTAACCTAACCTCTATTGCACATATATAATATCGTTTAAGAGAATTCGTTGACGATATACTGTAGTAAACTATTTCGGATATAATTCATTTTCGAGTATGTGGGTTTACTACACTACGACGATACGAGCTCAGAGGTTGTCTGGAAGAAGATTAATTCAGAGATCAACTATTTTGAAGTTGATGAATTTAGGCGTAGTCAATTATAGAGTAGAAGGATTTAGAAGATTTTTTACTATACCGTAGATGAGCTCAGAAATGATATACCGGACAGTAGACAGCTTTGGAATTGATCAATTTCAACTTCAATTTCAGAATAAGTGACTTCATATTTCATTTGTTATTTCCATACATGGTCAAATATATGATATCTGAGGACATACGTTTTGCAAGGACATGTATTTTTTCAACCAGTTTTCTATATATACATAACGCTCGACATAACGCTTCCCGTACTTTATTATCAGAAGACCTTGTTTTATAATACATTCCCAGGTATTATAAAGCAAGGTCTTCTGACAATAAATTATCTTCTTTAGGGCATAAAAGTTACAATAAAATATATTCAATTGATTTAGTGTCTTAACAATCTCTCAGGGCAAACGAGTTCAAATATAAAATAGAAATCCCTCGAAGTAGCCCTTGAACTGGTCTACTTTTTATATAGGAAATACTTTCCATAAATAGCAGATTTTTCATCTGTTTTATTCAAATAGAAAATTTTCCATCGGTTTCCTGTATCTGGAACACATTTAATTGGTCTTCTATATATGCTCTGGGACTGGGACATTGATATTAGACATTATTAGGGCCCTTTATTAATAAACTAATCTTCTTCTAAAGATAGAAAAATCTTTCCAAAATATAAAAGACTCGTTTATTTGGAAAATGGTTTAGGTCCATTTTTTCTTATATTGAGATATTCAAAGGTTTGGGTTTGATTTGTTTCAAAAATATTGTTAAGTGGTATTTTGTTTATGATATTGTGATCTATATCATGATAAAATATATATAACGTTAACGTTTTTTAAACTTTTCTAGAAAACCAAGACTTGTACCAGAACCCAAAATGCACTTATAGCACTTTCATCTTAAGTACAAGATGAACTACAGATATCTGTTATTTTATAAGTTATAGACCCACGGGTTCTAAACGATTAGTCTGTAATATATTTTAATATTATTAGTGAAGTTATTAAATCAATATTTAAAGGTGTCCGCACATATTTCAATCGATTTTTTAATTATACTGCAGATAATTTGTTTAATAACCTTTTTTTCATTCTTTCTTCTATTTACAGTACCTCAGACAAACATTTTCCCTTCTATCACCGGAAGACCAAAGCACACACACTCTCACCCTGCAACAAAAAAAAAGGCCACACATTCAAACCTAAAGCAACGAAGAAAGCAGAAAAGGAACGCTGCAACAAACTGCAATGCGGTACCAGAAAACTCGTAAAAAATATTCCAATTACAACAACAACAGCAGCAGCAAAAACTACAACAACAAAAACAAAATTAATAATTATAGCACATCATTAGCAACAAATTTCCACAAAAACAAAAGTATTGACTAAAATAGAAGAAACACAACTACAACAACAGCAACAAATCATTATTATCATTATCGCACAACAACAACAACAAATTAAGTACAAAACTAAAGCATACTTAGTAGTAGTAATTAATTTGGATTAGTGACTAGACTATTGTATCAAATCAAAAAAGAATCACAACAACAACAACAAAAGAAACTAACCTATACCGAATACACAAACAAAGCAAAAGTAAATCCTTTTCAGCATCGTCGTCATCATTGTCATTCTTACCCATCCCAGGAAATTTGGATATTTTTGGTTTTTTGTTCCGTTTAAAAATATATAAATAATCAAACGAATAACGGACACATACCGACATCCCAAAGCGTTTCTTTTTTTCTGAGAGGGTCATGTTCGAGAAACCGCCCATTTGGGTTATAGTTGTGGGCCTAAATGTCTGCATTTTGATATGGTTGATCACAGTCCAGGAGCCGGTTATGTATGATGCCTCTACAGCCATTATAACCAGTGGCAGCATCAACAATAATAACAATAACAGAAATAATTTACAACAACTAAATGATGTGGCTGCACCACCAGCATTACAACAACGTGTGGGACGTAATGATCGTGATATAGCTCCACTGTTTTCCGGCAGACATTTGTCATTTAGTGATGTGAATGGCTCCAGTACGTTTCCAACTACCCTAAATTGGAATATCAGCAGCAGTAGCAGTAGCAACAGCAATAACATTAGCCAAACAACTCGTTCTGAGGAAATCGTACAGAGTACCACCACTGTTACTGACCTGCTAGCGAATATACATTCATTAACATCTAGTCTGGGAACGGGAGTTCTCGAAACGATACAAAGACCAACACCATCATGGATAAAAATGACTGCTGTTTCATCAGCACTGCCGGAAGAAGACTTCAATCATTTGATAGATTTACATGACTTCCATTATCTTGTGCCTCAACCGGTGTGCAGCTCGAATGTGGAGGCCCTAATACTGGTGCACTCGGCACCACGCAATCAACCGAAACGGCAAATAATACGCGAAACATGGGCTAGCATTGGTCGTCATATGGTCGATTCACCCATCCGGGTGTTATTTCTTTTGGGTGCTGTCGCGGAGGATTCTCTACAGCATGAGGTTATGAAGGAGAACAGCGACTATGCTGATATCATTCAAGGTTCATTCATGGATGATTATCGCAATATGACCTACAAACATGTCATGGCCTTTAAATGGTTCCTTTACAATTGTCCTGATGCCCAGATATTAATCAAAGTGGACGATGATGTCTATGTAAATACGCCGCAACTAATTAAATATCTGAAGGCCGAACAGCAGAACGAAAATATGACGACCGCTGCCAAAAATGCAGAGACGACAAATGAGATGTCGGAGGAACAAGATGCAAACAAACCCACCATCATAACTCTTAATGATACAACCAAAAAGACAAAGTCCACCAAGAAATCTCTTTACGAGTCATTGAAAAATTTCGCAAACTCATTAACTCTCTCATCAACGTCATCATCTTCCGATTCATCAGCAGATAATTTTACAGCCTCAACGAGGCTCTTTCATCGACCACAAAATTTACTGTTCTGCCAGAAGATTACCGGTTCATTGGTTAAACGTTCCTATCGTTCCAAGTGGCGTGTCAGCTTCAAAGAATATTCAGAGCGTTATTATCCACCGTATTGTCCCGGCTATGCCATCATCTACTCGCCGGATGTGGTCTTTCGCCTGTACAATGCCGCTCAGAATTTCAAATATTTTTGGATTGATGATGTCCACATAACCGGTGTTCTGGCCCAACAAACCAACACAACAATAACCACCTCATCACATTATGTTCTCTACAGTGACGAATGTGAACGTCTATTGACGGGCAAGACTGATCTCCAAGATACGGAATTTCTGTTCGCTTGGCATAGTATATCGGCTCAGCAAATCAAAGCGATTTGGCATCTGCAAATGATGTCGCTCGCCTCACCCGACGATCTGATCTACAGGAGAAGTACGAATCACAACAGCAACAACAGAAGAAAGAAATCAAAACGACGCCAGGGCTCAAGCTTCAAGAATGCCAGATTAGCATACAACATCACTACCAACAACAATTTACTAACAACATCGGATGGCTTCAGATAGTAGACTTTCAGTTAGTCGGCAAAGAATGCAAGTTCAGGCAGTGGCGATACCTCCCAGCAGCGAACAGAAGCAGACGGCAGAAGTATAAAGAAACGCTTACAACATTAGTTTAGGTTTATTACTATGATTATAATTATTAAAAAAAAGAAACTATTATATATAAATATAAATATTGATGATGATTTCCAAGGTTCTAATTTTATTGTATTTTATTTTATTATTTAATTTATTTTTATTTTCGTCATTGTAAAGTGAAAAGACCCACAAAAAATACTGGCTTTATTTTATATATTTTACCTAAAATAACTACAACTAAATAATTTATTTAAAAATGGAAATTAAAATAAAAATATAGAAACAAAGAAGAAAAAACGTAATATATATACAGACACATTATTTGGATTGTAATGTATTTGAAAATATAATTTTAATAAATTTACTGATGAGATGAACCACTTCCCCCTGTGTGTGGTATGGTAAGATTTGTTAAATGTACATATACCACTGTGTGTTTTTCTTAATTATTATATGTATTTTAATGGTTGGAATTGGATTGTGAAAAGAAAAAAAAATAAGTAAGAAAATGGTATGAAGAAACAATAAAACAGGATAGCTAACTAAATGATGTCGATGCACTACCAGCATTACAACAACGTGTGGGACGTAATGATCGTGATATAGTTTCAATGTTTTCTGGCAGACGTTTGTAATTCAGTGATGTGAATGGCTCCAGTAAGTTTCCAACTATCCTAAATTGGAATATCAGCAGCAGCAATAACATCAGCCAAAACAACTCGTTCTGAGGAAATCATACAGATTACCATCACAATTAATCTAAAGTCTAGAAAAGGGATAATAAAAAGGATATCTATTTGTCTGTAATGTCATAGCCTGTTAACATATAGACGATAGTTCATAGACGACTTCTCTCCTCCGAATACATAACATAACATGCGTCAGGATTTCCAATTTGGTTGATAAACTCAATTCAATTCAATTTTTTTTTTCAATGCAATTCAATTTATTTCATAAACGAGAACCTAGCTCAAAGGGCCATGAGCGATTTCAAAAACTTCATTACGTGGACAACTCAAAAAGCTTAAAATTAACAGTACATCACATAATCATATCATAAGCAACAATACGTGAACAATACAAATCAAAGGTGCCCATACTTATAAAAATACCGAAATTTGGGAGCTGGCTATCCTTAAAGGTGGGCCAATATCGATAATTTTTGCTAGAAACATCACACAACACATTTTGTATGTAGGATCGGTTACTATTTAGGGGATATATTTTCTTTTATCACTTTAATAATCACTTTTGTCTGTTTTCGAGTCGCTCTAGGGACCACAATTATGTCCCGACCTTAAGAAATTTGGGTTTGGCCCACGAATCGGTCCGGTGAAGTGAAGTAAGACAAAATAATGCGAACATTTTAATGCAAGACCTAGTGTGGGGATGTTTGCAGTGTATTCACGAAGAATGCTTGACCTCTGAATTGAAATCAATTACAGTATTTTTCGGTTAATTGCACATCAAAATTGGCACAAATTTTTGTTCAATTAACCGAGGAACCAATTATCCGAACCCGCTTACTATGAAATGAAATATTTTTGACCCATCATGTGGTTCAATTAAGCGTGGAAACCAATTAACCGTAGGGTCAATTAACCGAAAAATACTGTATATTGATGTATGTACTCGAATATGGAACTAATAAACAGACATTTGTCGGGCTTTACATATTTTCACCAGAGGGCTATTATTTCGGGAAATTTTGAATAGTGGCATGAATTTGCTCTGCAGAAAGTTTAATTCCAATGTAGTTGTTTGTGGTATCATAATGTCGCCCTCATCCGAATATAAATTTTTCATTCACGATAGAGATCCCAATATTTAAGATAGAGCTCTGAAATTTTGCACAGACTTTGCTAGTATTCCTAGGTTGTTTGGTATTGCAAATGGTGTAGCTCCCATAAAAAAGTTACTCCCCAATGTTCGGTATTTTGAACATGTTTTCCAACCAAATTGTCCGTAATTTGGTATTTTGGGTTCTCAGTGACGAGATGTGATGGTACATCTCCGCACTAAAAATTATTAATATTGACCCATGTCGGTATTTTGATAATTTTGGACACGTTTTTCTACCGAATTGACTGTAATTTGGTCTTTTGTATTTACATTGGCTGTAAAATATCACTACCAAAAAAATAACAATATTGATCTCCGTTTTATTATAGCCCCCATGTAACGGTAGCCACACTATTAGATATTTTGAGAATTTCAATAATATTTGTTCACGTATTTTTCGGTATGTTCAAGGTCCTATCATAAGATGATAATTTTAGATATTTTGATTGTCATCCTTATGTTGGAGGATTTGGGATTCTCAGAGAAACTGGCCTTCAAATGGCAGGCTAGATCAGGTTTTTGTAATGGAGATTTTTATATTTTTTGTGGATTTTCCAGACTCACAAGTCGTATAAATGTAATCACTTGTAAATACTGGCGCCTAAGAGTATGCTTTACATTATTAACTCTACTCCTGCAGTACATTTCAAACTGTAATGTGTTGTCTAGCAAAGAAATAAACCACAACAAATATCAAAGCCACAAACAACAAAATATTTGTATGGTGTAGTTTACATAGCTAACGTTAGATGACTGTTGTGTTGACTATTGGGGGTAACCCAAAAAAAAAAACATGTCCTTTCCACGGCAAACAACGTAAATTATGAACTAAAGACAATTTTTGAATAAGAAATTGACATTGTCGAACTCCGATCGAGGTACCCTGACACATATTCAGCAGTATCTTCGGCTAAGAAAATCACTGTACGGAGAAGCCAAAGGCAAAGACATAAAAGTATAAAGATAGGACAATTGATACGTAAGCAATTTCCAACAGATGGCTTTTCCTCTGTTGTTACGATATCATAACAACAGAGAGAACAATATTAAACGTTTTTAATGCTATATCTTAAGCTTATAAAATGAAAATACATATTTTGAGTGCAGGCCTCTAGTTTTATTTACATTTTATTCACACATTTTCGCGTATTGGCGTTTTTATTCTTAACATGCCTCTGTTAACCTTGATTCCCCCTGGATATTTTTTCATAAACTATTTTGCCAAAATGCATTTTGTCGAGTCTTTACGGCTTCTATGTCTTTGCCAAAGGTATACAGCCAATGTAGGAGAGTCCACATTGTCATGGTGTATAATAATTCGTTTTTTTTTCAATTTCTCAGAATATTCCAGACAAACAAATTGTGGTGTATCACTCAGAATTGACCGTTCTACGCTAGTTGCCAAATTACGAGTTTTGCCTATGAACCAGACGACCATTTGCTTCGATGTGCATCTTCCACAGTTAGTCATCTCAGTTAATCAAGATCTCATGTAATGGGCGTCTCTCTGAAGTATCAGTTGGGTGTAGAATGTAGTAAAGAAAGTGGCAGGCTGTCTGGTTATAATATTTATACCCTTCACCACACTGTGGTACAGGGTAGTATGTCTTTGTGCATATGTTTGTAACAAGCAAAAGGAAACGAGATAGACCCATGGTTCCTTTTGAGAATATGCATAGAATCACTTTTTAAGTCGATTTATGCATGTCCGTCCGTCTGTCTATGTATTTTTGTGAGCAAAGTACAGGTCGCAATTATGATCCGAATTGGATGAAATTTGGCACAGCTCATTTGTTTGGCCCAAGGACGAACCCTATTGAAATTGAGAAAAATCGGTTCAGATTTAGATATAGCTCCCATATACATTTTCGTCCGATTTAAGGTAAATGGTGTACCAAAGTCCCTATATATCTTTCGATTTGCACGAAATTTGGTATAACGTACTGAATTGGGCCTAGAGTGATGTCTGTCAAATTTCGTGAAAATCGGTCCAGATTTAGATATAGCTCCCATATATAGTTTCGTCCGATTTCATGTAAATTTTGCACCAAAATCCCTATATATATTTCGATTTGCACGAAATTCGGCATAACGTACTAAATTGAGCCTAGAATGATGTGTGCCAAGTTTCGAGAAAATCGGTCCAGATTTAGATATAGCTCCCATATATAGTTTCGTCCAATTTCATGTAAATGTTGCACCAAAATCCCTATATATATTTCGATTTGCACTAAATTCGGCATAACGTACTAAATTGAGCCTAGAATGATGTGTGCCAAGTTTCGAGAAAATCGGTCCAGATTTAGATATAGCTCCCATATATAGTTTCGTCCGATTTCATGTAAATGTTGCACCAAAATCCCTATATATATTTCGATTTGCACGAAATTCGGCATAACGTACTAAATTGAGCCTAGAATGATGTGTGCCAAGTTTCGAGAAAATCGGTCCAGATTTAGATATAGCTCCCATATATAGTTTCGTCCGATTTCATGTAAATTGTGCACCAAAGTCCCTATATATCTTTCGATTTGCACGAATTTTGACATAACGTACTGAATTGATGCTGAAATGATGTGTGCTGTGTTTCTTGAAAATCGATTCAGATCTAGATATATATATATATATATATAATCTAAATAATGTACCAAGTTCTTATGTTGCATAGCGTTTTGAATTTAATCCAGAGTGATGTGTGCCAAGTTTAGTGAAAATCGGTTGAGATTTAGATATAGCTCCTTTCTATTATAATTTGATTTTAAGTAATTGACGCACCAAGGAACCAATATATGGCTGATAGGAACAAAACGTACTGAAATTAGTATAACCTAACCTGTGACAAGTTTCGTTGAAATCGGTTCATATTTGGGTATAGCATCCATATATAAGTAAATTGAAGGGTATCATATAGTCGGCCCCGTCCGACTTTACTACTTTCCTTACTGGTTATGAACTGGCGATGTCTGGCAATGGGTGGGCACACATTCGTCGTGCAAAATTTAAATCTAAAAAATTGGTATTTTGTCCATTAAGACGTGTTGTCCTTATTCATAATGTGTTTTATTGTCATCATAACGTGAACT